GCTGTGGCCACACCCAGCACTTCTCTGTCTCTAATGGGCTGGGTGTGGAGTCCACTTGATATGGGCCTTGGTCCGATCAATGCACTCCTGGGCCAGAGCTCGATGGTATCTAATGCAATAGCAATAATTCTGCTCCATCCTATTAGTGCTGTCTATGCAGACTGCCCTGCCTTCCACCCTATCTGCTTTTGAGATGGCATCCAGTGTTTATTTCCATTAGTCCCACCATTGTTGGTAACAATAAAAATCAGGAGACAGTTGCAAACTCATGATTTAGGGCCAGGGTGAAGCTGAGACCGACCTTGGCCCCTTTCCATCCACTATGAAGATGACTGGTCGTTGGCCATAAATTTAAATTATGGCAAAAGGATAACATAAGTTATTCCTCTGATGGCTAATTTTATCAACTAAATAGGCTTGTCATTAAAACTATCAGCTCTTTTACAAATCACTTCCCATGTTTAAAAAAATTCTTTTTTTTTTTTTTTTAAATTCATCCCCAAAGGCAAGATCTTGAATAATCCAGGTAACAAAGGCAACTGGGCTGAGCTGGGACTTGTGGCCTCCCTCCAAGGAAGAGCCCCCTGGAATAATCCAAGGATGATCCAGCTCGAGCCCATCCTAGAGCCAGAACCTGTTCCCACAGTTTTCTTGCTACACCCGCACTCTGCCCATCTCTGAGCTGTGCCCCCAGTGCACAAATGCTGGGAGACATCCTCTCGGGGACAGAGACTGGGGACGCTGGGTGGCCAGACAGGAAAGGGCCCAGCTCCCCACCTACCAGGTCTACTCTGACCCCAGCACAAGGGCTCAGAGGGGAGAGTCATGTCACCCTCTGTCACCTTCCTCCTTCAGACCCTTGCTGAGCAGAGAGGTTAAGATTACAGCCTCGTTTCTTTAGGAAACAGGCAGGGAGATGCACCCCAAGGACACTGTGGGGAGACTGTTCCTGCCACACAGGGATAGGGAAAAGGAAGGGAGGTCATGGGCCTGCGGGCTGGGTTTACAGGTCAGCAGCTGTGTAGGAGACCTTTCCTCCTCTGGAGTGGGCCATACAAAAGCCTCCTGAAGCATCTGGCCTGAGACTGAGTCTTGCTAATGAAATGGGCAGAAGACACATCCTTATGTCTAGGCCTGGAGCCCAGCTCTCCACACCCCTTCCCTGCACAATGGTTGAATAAAGAAGACTTGGCAGGAGGAGCCTGGGGGCTGCAAGGTCCTCCTGTGCCAAACTGTCACAGCCTGTCCTGGAATGAGGTGCATGACAAACACCCTCTTCTTGCTTTCAGCCACCAAGACAGCTGGCATCATCTGATGTGGCCACTAGAGGTTCTTGTCCTCACTGTGCCTCAAGCACAGATCCTGTTACAGCCAAAGGAAGTGAAGTCCTGGGTTGGTGCCCAGCTCTCTTGTGAAAATCCACACCTGGGCAGGAACAGCTGCTGCACACCTTGGCCTTCTCCTCTGTGCGGGGCCCCTTGCCTGCCAGCTGGGACCTTCAGGCTGAATGAGCTGAAGTACACGACAGGCAGAGTCGGGGCTATGATTCCAGGCTCTGCTCCCCATGCTTAGTGAGAGCGCCCTGTGTGTACGACTTGATTTAACGTGATCCACATAGCATCCGCATGAGGATGTCTTGTCTTTCTTTTTCCAAAGAGAAAGCTGCCACACCCAGGTCAGAGAATTTTCTCCAACCCCACCTGCCATGGCCTCCTTGGTTCCAGTGGCCTCCCTAGAGGCTAGGTCTCAAGACAACCTAGATGGGACCCCCTTTCGCTTGTTATTTTGCCAGCTGCCTTGGGGTAAAGGGTACTGAGGACGGAGAACTCAATTTCCTTCTGTGCTTGCTGTGGGACCCAGCAAAGAAATGGAATTCCACAGCAGAGGCCCATTCAGACCATATGATTTGGGACCACAAACTACTGTAAGGCTGAGAGGGCGAAGAGTGTTCAGCAGTAGAGCAGGATCCTGAGCACGGACCCCCAAAAAATCTCCTGAGTGGGTTTGAAAGACAAGTCAGGAGAGCAGGATGTAGCACGCAATGAACCGCTGCATCTGAATAGCTCTGAATAGCCAGTACACAAAGACAGATAGACAGACAGACAATTCATACTGTCTCCTTGAAGGACAACCACAATCATCCTGCCTTACACCCATCCGGGGACCAGTGTGATTATCTGTTAGAGAAATTCTGGCTAGGATCCAGACAGGGAACAAAATAAAACTGAGCAGGAGGGACTTCCAGCTTTGGAGTGGGATGTGTGTCTCATGTGGCAGTGAGCAGCACAGATGCATGGGGTGGCCAGGGCCTAGGAGAGGTCGGACTGTCCTTTTCCCTCCCCAGGTCTCTTTGGGGCAGGAATCTTACAGTTGTGCCCAGGAGTCAGGGGAGAGCATAGCAATGAGAGAAGCAGTGAATCCCATGCCCCATCCACATGGCAGGGTGACCTGCAGGAGATCCCGTTTCCCTCCTAACCTCCACACCGTGGCTCCCTTTCCCGGTGCCTGAAATCCCTGCTTGGCTAATCCTGGATTGGGCAGACGCCCTCTAGTGGCTTCCCCTCTACCGTATAAAGTGTTCACCCATCACACGCAGGGCTGGTGGCAAGCAGTGAACTGTCAAGTCAGGTGATAGGGAAGATGAAAAGTCCAAGGTGTTGATGTCAACCCGAAAACATGTCACCTGTGAGAAGTCTTCGGAGTCACAGAACAGGCAACTTTCATGGCAGGAGACCTGAAAAACTGCAAACACTGCCTCCACCAGGAAGGATGCCTGGTGCAGGCAGCCCCGGAATGCCATGTACTCTTGGGTGATTCCCCGCAGGGGCACGTGGGCCAGGCGGGGATCCTGTGGGCCTGATGGAAAGGACAGATGAGCACCTGATGTCCAGGTTTATCACCTGCCAGGATTTTGTTACCACTCCCATTTCCACATGCACAAGACCAAGGCCCACAGAGGTCCTAGCAGTGACCAAAGCACAAGTCGTAGGGTTGGTTTTGACCCCCAAACCAACCTTCATGTCTATCCTTACCATCACAGACTGCTTCTGGCTGTTCCAGGGACAACACAGCCCAACAAGTCTCAAATCTGGGGTTGCTGCTGGCCCTGGACAGCAGCTTCCTGGTTCCCCTGCAGAAGCCTGAGCGCCACTCAGCCTGCCCAGCAGCCCCCTGGGATCCAACCTGCCCTGTGCTTTCTGCTATTTCACAGGGATGACAGGCTTCAGGTGGTTTTTGAATTAAGATGGTTTGCGTTCATCTTTTTTCCAGATGTCACAAGTGAGAGGGATTTGTCTGTATTTATTGGCTCCTTCCTGTGCAGAAGCACAGGGAGGCCCCCTGTAGCCCAGCTCCCCAGGAAGGGGGCCACATGTGGGTAGCAACTGAGGGGCTCAGAATAGGGGTCACTGTGGAGGCACGGGGATGGGCCTGCCACTAGGATTTTCTCCTTGGCCACCTGATGTGTGTGCTGCTGATGAGGGTGAGAGGCAGGGTGGGTGCAGTGCCTGCTGGCTGGTCGCAGCTGTGTGTGGGCACAGGTGGGGCAGGGTAGCAGCTTTCTGTTGACCACTGAAGAGGTAGCATTTTCGTTTTCCTGTCCCTAATAACCCTCAGCTGGTCTCTGGATGACCCTGGAGCTGTCCTTTCCTCCAGCCTCGATGGTCCCTTCTGTACAAGCCTGACCCTTCAGCCCAGTGGTTGCTAAGTCCTTCTGGTCCCCTCTGCCCTCTCCTCCCCGTCTTTCACAATAGCCAGGAAGAACCATCAAAACTCACACTGGAGCCTCCTGCTGGACTTCCAGCATTGCTCCTTCCCCAGAAGAGGCCAGGCTGGGCCCTGCACAACCCCTGAAGCCCTCCTGCTGCCCACCACCTCGGGCACAGACCTGGCCTCTGCACCACATGCTCCCTGCTCAGGTCAGGGCCCTGTCAACCCCTTCTCGCCCTGGCCTCCGAGCCGGACAAGCCTTGGAGGGGTCTGGGCTGCCAAATTCTCCGAGGTTCCTTGGAGGGCAGCACCCACGTTCAGTTCAGGCCGGTGTCCCTGATGCTAGCACGAGTCCTGATGATGGAATGCACTGGAGAGACCCTGTAAACTGCCTGCTCCCTGATGCCCTGGGTGATGTGTGTCTTGGGGCCCCATCTGTCACTCAGAGGCCTTCTATGCCCAAATGCAAGGCTGTGGTGTTTATAAAACAGGCAGATGTGGTTCCCTAACAGAGGGCAGGCACATGGCGAGTGACAGGTGAGACTTGAGCCCTGAGTCCCTGGAGGGACCCTGTGCACAAGGCATTTGGGAGGGGGGTGAGGGTGGCTGGCTTCATGACACTGCAAACCATGGATATGTGGCCGTGAGGCTCTGTACCAAGCCTGGCCCACAGTGCTGGGGATAGCAGGCCAGGCTTACCTGGATCACAGAGAAAGGGGGAACCTGAGGGGCAGGATGGTCTTCCTGTTGTGATAAACATTCTCACGTGACCTGCACAGGAGCCTCACCTACTGGGATCCTGCGGAGCCCTGCAGCCTGGTTGCAGGATCGGCTGCCAGCCAAACCCTTTTTCTACACCTCCTGGAGGGGGCTGTGTCTACGCCCCCATGGCAGCTGCCCATCCCACTTTCAGAGGAGGGACCCGAGAGTCAAGATCCCTGGGAGAGGGACCTTGCCCTTCTCCACTGCCTGGTGTGCTCACAGAGCCTTCCTGGGTGCCTTGTGGGCAGGGTGCACGCTTAATACCTTTTGGGGTGTCCCAAGGTCCTGGTGCTGATGAGCACAATGGTGTCCCACAACTCGTGGCAGATAGATTTGAGCCTTCTTGGGGACTGTGCCTCTATGACTGCCTTGAATGGAAGGGTGACATGGCAGCTCAGCTGGAATGACAAGGACTACGCCCTGGGCGCCCCCTGACCATGTGCCGGATCATGTCCTGGGGCTCTGGGCATTCGTGTCCCCCACAGGGTTTGCTCAGAATGGACAGAAGAGCTGTGTGGCATGCTACATACCCCCTGCTCCTGGCAGATCTGCGTCAGCCTCTCCAGCTGCTCGTCCTGCAAGACCTTGGCCTTCTCGTACTGCTGGATGACCATCTCCATCTCCACCTTCACAGGCAGCACATATGCTGGAATACAGACAGCTGTGAGGCATGGGCAGCACCCATGTGTGGCTCCCTGGGGATAGGAACAGGGTTTCTGGGCATCCAGCAGCATCTGGAAAGCATAGGGGGCTGCAGCTGAACTCAAGCTGCTGGGGAGACACTTTTCTGTCCTGCAGGGACTTAATGTTGGCTGTTGTCACAGCTGCCCAGATGACTATACTCCAGTCTCCTCTGTAGCCACCAGCAGCAGAGGACACATCCTGCCAGTGGGTACAACAGAATGGGCATGGCATCAGCCTTAAGAGGTGCTGAGATCGTGGGGACTCTCATATGTTTCTGGTTTCTGGCAAACCTGGAGAACAGCACAGCAAACTGAGTGGCCCCAGCCCAGCAATCCCGTGTCCCGAGAGGACCAAAACCATGGCTCACATGACAGTGTCACTCGTGATGGCCCCAAGGTGGAAATAACCCAAACCTCTACCAACTGCTGAGGGAACAGACAAAATACATCTGACAGTACTTGAGTGAGGAAGGATGGATGCACGGTGTGCCCTGAGTGCACTGTGATGAGTGGAAGAAGCCAGGCACAAAATCCCCTATGTTGTGCAATTCTGTCTACATGGCGGGCCCACCATGGGCAGCTCTGTAGATGTGGGGAGTGGATTAGCTCAAGCCTGGAGCTGGGGGGCCGGAAGAGATGGCCAGCGAGCTCGAGGTTTCTTCTGGGGAGCTGAGAGTGCTCTGACCTGAGCTCTAGCACGGCTGCACAACTCTATTACTGTATTAGAACTTGCTGAGTTGTGCACTTCAAATGAGTGGAATTCAGAACACGTAAATTAATCCCAAGGAAGATACTAAAGACAAAGCAGCCCTTGTACTCCAGTCCAACACAGCAAACAAGGCCACCAGGACCAGTGCAGGAGACTGAGACTGGACCCTGAGCCAGGAGCGGACCTGGGCCCTTGCCCAGGCTGTGGGAGACAAGGACCAGCTTTGACTGGAGTCCATGGAGGCAGGGCTCTGGCTGAATGGAAACTTCAGGTTCCTGCACGAACTCTTCAAGTATGAGCTGACCTCAAGCGTGACACTCCTGTAACATATTCCACTGTTGCTCTGCAAACTACTACTGAGCTGGACAGAGACAGCAAAGATGAACCGGGTGGCAGAACCTGCCTAACAGACCCCTGCAGACCTTTATGGGCTAGCAGTTCTAACCTGAGTTAGAACTACTGCATTTCACATTCTAACTGCCTGGAATAATGACTTCTTCAGGCTCTTCTGCAGCTATCAGTGGCCTCAGGATGTGGTGGTTGGTACTGTGGTAGCCATGTTAGACCCATGGCTCTGGGGCAGGAAGTGGCTTCGGAACCTCACGATCCAGAACAAAGAGAAACGAAGCCAATGAAGGGTGAAGCCACTGGGACAGGACAGAGGGACATTGGATAGGACATGCTCCTGTTTTTCTGTGTACCACTGTTTATACTAATCTAACCTTCTCTGCTAACTCCTCTACCTCCCATTGTTACTAGGTAGCTGAGCAAGCATCACTGGGGGAGAAACCAGTCATACTGCCAAGTTTCCATGTTAGGCTGAACGAGGAGGGGAAAGACTGGGCCCTTGGAAAACTAAGGGGCAAGATATATCACCTTCCCAAGTAGAGAACTATGAGGTTCCATAGGCACAGGGAGAACTGACATACAGTTCTTTTGGTTTCTAGAGATAACCCATCAAAACAAGCTGCTTCTCCAGATAGATGGATGAGAGACAGACAGACAGACAAATGGTAACTGGGCTTTCCTTTTGCTGCTTCATCTTCCTCCCTCCCTCTGCATAGTGAAGATATAATGGCTGGCCCTGGAGCAGCCACCTTAGACCATGAGGTGACACTGAAAAGTAGGATATGAGTCTAGAGCAGTGGTGGTGAACCTATGGTACACACATTGTTTTTCTTCAAAGACAGAAGATTTTAATGTATGAGTTGTTTTTTCCTAAACTAAAACTTCAATATTCGGATTTAACAGCAATGTTGGTACTTGATGGGTTTTAGGTTGCAGATTGAGCACTCATCTCTAAAAGGTTTGCCACCACTGGCTTAGAGGGATGCAATAGCAGGAGCAGGATTCTGACCACAGGGAGGGGCGCAGTGTCACCACCTGCAGATGCTCACATGAGGGAAACAGGCTGCCGCTCTGTTGAGGTTGCTGCTCATCTGGGTCCCTGCTACAGAGGATCCTGATTATGCCTGATATGTGTGGTGAGATGAGGAGGAGAAAGCCTGGGCTGTGAGCACGGGGTCTGTGAGATCTTGCTGCCAGCAGCAGCACCTGCTGCATGTGGTGCTTCTCAGGCTCAGCAGCTGGGGGGTCCTTAGAAAGCTCAGCATCTGTTCTCAACCTTAAACGAGGCTCTCCCTGATACCCTCTCTCTCCTCAGGCCACCTGGCCTGTTTTGATTCCTCAGGAACCCTGGCCCCTGGCTTCTCTTGCATTCTAGTACCTTCCACATCTACAATGCATGACGGCTCATTTCCTCCCAGCATCTTCACCCCGGACATTCCCTAGCTGCAGCAAGTATCTTGCACAAAAAGGAGACCTGGTCTCCTCAGTTTGTGTGGATTCGAGGGCAGCCGCTTTCCCTGAGCCATCAGGGCCCAGTGCCTGCAGCTCCTGGGGCCAGGGAGCAAAGCCCTAGCTGTGTGCTCACAGTAATCTCCACAATGGCTCCTGGGCAGGGCGCAGCAGGAAAAGGGCTGCACCGGGCTGTCAAAGCCCATTAGTGTGAGGGGTGCGCTGGGCACAGCTGGTGGGAGGAGCCAGGGCTGCTGGTCACCCATCTGCTGTGTGACCTCAGCCTTTCTGGTTTCAGTTTCCCCATCTGTCAAACCAAGGGACTGGGATAGATGATCCTCCAGATGTAGCTGGACCCCAGCACACGCCAGTACCATGATCCCGAATCAGAACTCAGTGACAAGACATCAGGCAGAAACAGTGCCCATGTCCTCAGGGTGGGGTGTGGATGGAGGACAAGGTGCAAGGCTGCTCCAGGGGACAGGCCAGTGCCCCCTGCCTGCCTAGCACCCACTGAGCGAGCTCTGTGGGGGATGCTTGGGCCACAGCTGCTATCGTTCAATGTAGGATTCAGACAAGGGGAGGGCACGAGGTGGCTTGCTCTGAGCCACACTGCCATGTACACTGGGTAGGATTTTGCGAAAGAAAAGAAAAGCCTGGAGTCACTGTGACTGCACAGGCTGGACAGGCCGGGCCGGGCCTGGCTCTCCTCATGCAGAGCCTTACTCAGTCTCCCCTGGTGGTGGCTGCCCCATCTCCTGCCATCCCATAGACCCCCAGACCACTCACCATCGATGACTCTCTTCACCCGCCAAATCCGAAGCATGATGATGAGGCTGATGGCGTCCCAGGGGCTCTTAGGCCCGTTGGCCACAGTGGATGCCACCATCGGGGCCAAGGACAGGATGATCACTGCCCCATCAAATACCTGTGGATGTTCAGACAAGGGATGTTCTGGGACTAGAGAGAGCCAGGGCCAGGGCTGGCAGTGGTGCAGAGTCCTCATTTCCTGTGGTAGCAGGCATTCAGAGCCTGTGTGTCACCTTCACTGGCACAAAGTCCCCAACCCCACAGGGACAGAGAAGGGGGCCTGACTGACTGCACACCAAGTCTCACCTGCATTTGCAGGACCGGTGACAGCACAGCAAGGCCAGCATGTCCTCAGCCCTACCCCCACCACAGCTCCTCCCAGCAGAGCAAAGTGCAGGCCCCGCCTGAGAAGCATGGCTGCAGCTCCCTGCTCAGCTCCCTGACTGCTGCACCATGCAGACGGGAGTTGTTTGCTTTTGAATGCATTGCAAAAGCTTTTCTGATTGAGTCAGGAAAAACTTTTTTTTTTTTTGAGCTGGAGATAGAACCCAGGACTCTGTGTGCTAAACACTTGCTCTGCCACTGAGTTACGTGGCAACAATAAATTTAGCCCAAGAATAAATTTAAAAATGGTGTAGAAATTCTAGGAATTTCTTAGAGTGTCCTGTGGCTGGAAACTGGCCCAGGTCACCCCTTCCCTGCCTCCTCCCCAGCCACACCGTCTGTGTGGCTGACAGGACTGGGGTGGGGTCCCCTGCAGGAAGGGATGGGCAGGACAGTGAAGCCTGCCAGCTCCCGGATGTGTGGGTTGGTGGCTGGGGGAGGACCTGGTCCTTACCTCTATTTTGTTTTCAATGTAGTCCCAGATCCCCAGCACCACGATCCTCAGGACAGTCTGAGGACAGAAGAAAAGTTTCTTTGTCTCCAGCACTGCCTCAGCAAAGAGTCCCGGCTGGGTCACAGGGAAATGTGCTCCTCAGCCTGGTCCCTTCCCTGTCCCCTCCACAGGGGTCCAGCTCTGGGCCTCTTGGTAGTTGGTGGCCGTAGCTCTTGTGACCCCTGCCATCTACCTCTGTATCAGGCCAGCCTCACTCAGTCCTCAGGACCCTGCCTTCCTCTCCAACACTGCTGCTTGCCTCTCCCCTCATGATATAAAATTATTTACACATCTGCCAACACGTAAACTCCTCTCCTTTGTCTCTCCATATGGTGATGGCCAACAGCTGACACCTCTCTTCTGCTCTATAGCATGCTTACCCAGCTGAAGACTATATTTCCCAGCCTTCCTTGCACCCCAAGGTGACCACAGGAGTAAGCTCTGGCCAATCCCGTTGTGTCCATAGGCACAGCTCTTTCCCCTGCTTTCCTATCCCTGGAGGTTCACTTGGTGTGATTGGTCCTGAGCCATCTTTAGTTGTGAAAGGCTGAGAAGGACATGGTAGCCTCTTAGGTGCCCACTCCAAAACCTGTGCTCCTATGATATCCATTAACTCGCCCAGTTTAAGCTCCTACACTTGGGGTTTTGTTCTTTGTTTTTCTTTGGTACTGGGATTGAACTCACGACCTAGTGCTTGCCAGGCAGGTGCTTATGCCACTGAACTAAGTCCCCCACCCCCCGGGATCTTGTTCTTACAGCAGGATAATTTGTGTGCTAACCAGCAGGGCACTATCCCCTCTTGCCCTTCTGCCCTCAACCCAGATGCCACCTCTGCAGAGCCTTCCCCATTCCCTAGGCTCAGCGAGTGCCCTTTCCTCAGATCTATGTGGTCCTTGGTTCCCTATCCAGCTCCACACCCTGGTCCCTGGTTCAGGCCTGCAGGACACTGTCTAACAGCTCCCTCTTACCCTTAGCCCCTGGTGTGGTATAGACACTGCATGGTGACACCCATGACAGAGTGACGAACGCATGCATGAAGAAATCTCTAGGCACTGTGGGCTTCAGGAGTGGCTATCTCACCAGGAGGATGTCTGTCCACTAAAGATTCTATAAAGCTGATCTCCTCTGACCCTACTTTGTTTGTCTGTGGTGCTTCTCTGAGCCACAGTGACACTGCTTTATACCCAACAATGACTGTGTCCCTGGAGCTCAGCTTCAGAACTCAGGGGCACTGCAGAGCCCTCGGGTCACTACCCACTCACACTCGGGTACTAGAAGAGACCTGGGTGGTGACATTAACTCTTCCTTTTAAAGGACTCACCTGACTTCCTTGGAGGACCAGGAGGAAGGACCTGGTGGCAGGCAGTTATGGTCTCTGAGAGGAACATGGGCAGCCTGGCAGCCCCACTATGGCCTCTTAAGTCTCTGGGTTGGTAGCCCATACTAAACTGCAAGACAGTACCTTTTTTGCTTTTTTTTTTATCAGTACCAGTGATCAAACTCACAATGGTGTGCTTGCAAGGCAGGCGCTTATGCCACTGAGCGAAGTCCCTAGCCCCAAGATAGTACCTTAAAGTCACATACAGCTCAGTCCTGGACAGGCTGGCTGACCTTGGGCAAGTCGAATTCCAACTGTGCCCTGCCCTTCCTGCCTGGCATCCCTGAGGACCCCATGCCTGGCTCATCCCCAGTGGGGCACACAGTTTCATTCCTGCCTTCTCTCCAAGGTTGCCCTTCTATGTTACCTCATTGTGTTACCTGGTGGTGTGTGGCTTCGAATCCCCACATGTGACTCTGGTGGGCTCAGAACAGGAAGTCATCATCTCCCAGCTGCCTGACAAATGGCCATCAAGCCACAGTAACTAGGGTTAATCAAGGGTGCATTCACAGAAAACCCCTCAACTAGGAATCAATTCGCTATGTTAACATTCACAGTCTGTTTTCCTTACTAGTGAGGTTCCAAATTCATTAACATAATGTTTTGATTTATTAAAAGCATACTGGGAAACAGCGCTGAAGTCACTCTTCCTGAAGTCAGCAGGACACCAGGTGGCACAGCTTTGGCATAAGCCCGCAGGCTCCTCTGACCATCCTTCCTGCTGCCTGCCAGATACCTGCACCATTCTCAAAACAGCAGACACACCAAAGCTGTGTCTTGCCTTTTAGAATAAAAAATGGCAATTTAAAATGTCAGTAAGACAGGCCAAATGGTGTCAATATAGATTAATTTAGAATAAGTATATAAAAGTGTTTCTGAGCACCACCAAAGCCATTTCTAGCTGGATTTTATAATAGAAAATATATTGGTAACAGCCAGTTTCAAATTCTGGAAGTCCATTTAAAGACTCATCAGCAAGGCCAGGACATACAAACTACATTTTTCTCCTCTCCAAAGTGGCAGAGAAAATTAAACAAGACTCTGTCTTGGATAGAGGAAGGGAGCGGGTGTTGAAAGAGAGAGCGATGCGTCCGAATGAGAGAAGGTAAGATGCTGAGAGAGGAAAACCACTGTAAGAAAGATTCGTTTGCCCCAGCACAGCCCCTGTGGGTGCAGGTGTGGGTCAGGGCAGATGAGGAGACGGTGGCAGGGGACAGTCCTCACAGGCCACAAGCCTGAGTCTGCGTCCTGCAGAGGAAGGGCCCGGAGCGGACATCCTGCTTCCACTGTGTGTCCCCTTCATGTTTGATAGCTGGGGTGCCCTGCTCAGGATGCGCCCTTGATGGGAGACTGTGTAACCAGACATCGGAAACCAGGCATCTCATACCACTGTCTGGGAAACAGTTATAATACATCAATTATGGGGTTCCCTGGACCCCCTCTGCAGTCTCTAGGACTTTACACCTTGACACTGGTTTTCAAAAAATCTTGGCCCAAGCCTCCAGGTCCAGGCGAGGAGAGGGGGACAGAGGCTCCTGGCACTGGGGAAGACTCAGCCAGGTGTCACCACAGGCTGGCTCTGGTGCCAGGCCACACAGGCAAGGGGCCTGGAGTCTGCTAGGCAAGGCTGACCCTTCTCACTGCTCTCCTAGTCCTCAGGTTCAGCCTGGAGGGAGGGAGGGCAGCCACTGCCTCCAGTGGAGTGCTCCTCTGGGACCCAATTCCCTGTATGCACTCTGGAACTTGGAGAGGGCTGAGGGAAACTCTCCTGAAATTCACAGGGGAGGGAAGCACAGAGAGGGCCAGTCATTTGCCCAAGAGCACACAGCACTGTAGTGGCCAAACTCACTTCCTCAGTTAAGCACTGAGGCGAAGCAAATTCATCTTCATCTTTCAGAGTGTAAGTATAGTGCCAGGCTCTCACCTCCCACTTGAGGACAGAGGGTCCCAGGGTTCCTGGAGGACATGCAAGCAAGGAAGGAGCTCAGGGTCCCAGGACCTCAGGGTGACTGCAGCTGTGGAAAAATGGGGCCCTGCCACAGATTGTTCTGGCAAAGGGCTATAGAGTCATGGGCACTTTGGGGAGGAAGTGGTTGCCTTGAGCTATCAATGACTGGGTAAACAAACAAGGTCAATGGAATATTAGTCAGACATGAAAAGGATGAAGTATTGATCCAGTAACAGTGCCAATGAACCATAGGAAGCGTTGTGTCAAGTGACAGAAGCCAGACACACAAATGACAGAAGCTAGACACATGAGACCACCCATCTGTGGTTCTATTTCTATGAAATGTCCAGCAAGTGTAAGTTCACAGACAGATGGCAGGGGCTGGGGCAAGGGGAGGAAGATTTGCCTGGTGACAGAAACGTTTTGGAAATGGGTGGAGGGGAAGATGCACGACACTGTATGCCAATTCACACACTGAGAAGGCTGTGTCCTTTAATTCCACCAAGAGAGGCGAGAGGGGGGAAGATAAGCAGTAGCAGTTATAGACCCTCTCCCCCTCTCTCAGGAAATGCTGGGTGGCCTGGGCCTCTCCACCCCCCACAGCAGGGGCTGTCACCTCAGGGCCTGCCCTGGGCCCTACCATGGGGTGGCCCAGCCTTAGCCAGGAGGTTCCAGAGCTCTACCAGCCCTGGCTCTGGTTCTGCATGGCCAGCTAGCTGGGTACCCACCAGCGGTGGGTACACTTCACAAATGTTGCTCAATTCACCTGTGGATCGCAAGGCTCTGCTCACTCTGGGGCTGCAGACCACATAGAGGGGTGATGACCCCGCCAGATGCAGCACAACAGGACTCAGAGGCCTCCGAGGCACCGACTCTCATGGGCTCTGCCTGCTGGGGCGCACACTCTGGCTGCTCTGAGAAGCATCCATGTCCACCAGGGGGCCAGCTGGAGCCCAAGCCAGCCTCTCCCACCCTGCAGACTCAGCATTGTGCCCTAGGGCTGGGCAGGCAGAGCAGCCTGCAGAGTTCTGGGATGGGTGAGGGCCACATCCAGCTCTCTCTCAGCTTCCCATAGGCTTTTAGGGGCTTTCTACATGCTCTGGGTCTCAGTTTCCCAACCTGTCCTGCACCTGAGATGGTCACAAGGCTCCACTGAGATAAGAGGTAGGATACTGGCTCCAGGGCAAGGGCGTCAGGGGACTGACTTCCTGAATAATGCCAAGACGCAGCTACTCCCAGGCCCAAGAAGGGATGGCTCTTGGCCACATAGTGGAGCAGGTACCTAGATCTGAAGGGTGATCTCCACTTCCCCAGAAGGAGGTTGGCTGCCCTGGGGCTGTGGTCGAACTTTTTCTCTCTCCATTCCCAGCTCTGGCCTTGGTCTCTTCCAGTTTGTCTCCTCTCCCATGCTGCTGGCCTTAGGCCCACGGCAGGAGAGCAAGGCTGAGACCAGGTCAGGAGGTGGAGCTGGGTCATGCAGTGACTGTAATTGGCTGTGCAACCCACACTGTGCCCCTCCACAGGGTGAGTTTACAAGGCCCCCGGGGCCATGATGCTCCCCTCTTCCCACTGGAGGCATCCCCATTACTGTGAGCACAAACAGGGGTGGGGATTCTGGGGCTTGGTCCTTCTGGTGCTGGTAAGACTGCCTGGATTCCTGTACTTGTTGTGTTCCTTATTCACACTGGCCTGGGCACTGGAGGAGGCAGGGACCCCTGTTGCTCCATGCCAGGCTCCAGTCCACTTTCATCATCTTGATAAGGCCCAGTCCTTCTCCCCAGCTCTTGCAGCTCTCTTACTGAGCCTGTGGGGAGCTCCAGGCCCTTCTCCACTTTGGGGGATGTGTAAGGGGCTCGGTCTGTGATTCCTGTGCACAGGGCCTCGTCTGTTTCAGGTGGTTTGTCTCCGGCGGTGACAGGAAGGGGATGCCAAATTAACGCTGGGTAATAAATTCTGCCAAAGCCAATAAAACCAAAAGCAGAGGGATGGAAGGGAAGAACTGCAGCAACTGATTAAACATTTTTGTTGGCAGCCATAGACACGCAGTGCATTTTTCAAGGTTTGCATGCTGGAGCCATCTGGCCCAGCCCCTGTGTCTGTGGGATGGAATCCCAGGATGCAGAAACGGGTGGGGGAGAGCAGGACTCCATGGGGGGCACGAGGCCAGGGTCAGGCACACTGGTCCAGGGGCAGCAAGCTGACAGAGAGCTTCCCAGAAGGCAACATGGGAGATGCTCCTGCAGCCTGAATCCCAAGCCCAGGTTACCCAATGTCACAGGCTCAGGAAGCAGGGTCCGGGGAGGGAATGTTCTAGAATGCCTGCTGCCCAGTCTGTACAATCCGTATCCAGGATTCTGAGCTCCAAGGCCCAGGCCTAGCTGTCGGGCGCAGGGGCTCAACACACCCCGCCCGGGACGATAAGACCATGTCAGCTTCCGCAATGCGTTACGTCCCTCTCTAAACTAGCCACCCCGTGCGCACCTCGTGCTCACTCCGTATTCGCCCAGTGCTGACTCTGTGGCAACCCCTGATTGGCCACAGCTGGATATATTAGCCAGAGCCTGCGTCCCATTCCCGCCCTGCTTCCTCGTGGCAGCCTGTGATTGGTCACGGCCAAATATATAAACCAGAGCCCGCGTAAATAAAGCAGCAGTTAACTGTCACCCACAAGAGCGTCTCCTGTCTCATTGGGGGGCTGCGCCGGTCACCTAGCCTTCCCCTCTTTGTAGGGAAAGGGACAGCAGAGTCATAGATCAGATGGAGCAGACCCATAGGAGAGCTGCAGCCTCTAACTTGCTTCTGTGATGTGGTTTTTACTCACCAACCCCAGCGAGACTCAGGGGCCTCCATGTCCCCAGTCACCACTGCAGAAACATACCCCTCCCCACCCTACCCCAGGGCACATCTTCATTCAGCCTTGCCTGTCCCCTCGGCCCAGCCCCAGGAACACATCCTCTGCCTTCTGCCTCTTTGGCCCAGGCCACTGAGTCCAGCTCCCTGGGCTTCTGCCTCACCTCTTATCACTCCTTACTGGCCACCAACTGCCCCTGCTCTTCAGTATCACACTCAGTCTCCCCTCACAGTGCCACAGCCACCCCTCACCCAGATGCCACCTGCTCATCCTTTGGGGCTCCTCTCAATGTCACCTGCTCAGACTCAACTTTGCAGCTAGGAAGGCCCAGCTCCCCCAAGCACCTTCCACAGCAGCGCTGCCCGCAGCATAATGACCAGCAAAGGCCTGGCCATCAGGAAGTATGTATGGGAGCAAAGTTCAGCTTCCTGGGAGAAGCTGCCCCAGTGGAACACACAGCCTGAGTCTTTACCTACCTCTGAGAAGAACACTGAGAGGATGACCAGACTGATCCAATGAATGACGCTGGCAAACTGCAATGCACTGGAAACTGAAAGGAACAGCAAGGGCTGGCTTTAGGGGTGAGGAACTGGATGTGTGGGTACCGGGCTGCACAGCAATTCAGGCAGACTTCTGGGACACTCCAGTAGTGGGAGCAGCTCGACTGGGTGACACTGAGTCAGACGATAAGGGCAGCCCTGTGTCTGAAGGCAGGCAATGACAGATTTGTGGTCAGTGCTGCTGTTTGTCCCTTCAGCCCAGGGGCCGCAGGCCAAAGAAGGATGCATGCCAAACAGCCCGGTGAGGCCTGAAGGGCTCCAGCCCCACAGCTCAGTCACCCCAAGTACTGCATCTGACCAGTGGGCTCCAGGCCAGCTTTCACTGACTTTTCAACCTGAGAACTGAGTCGTAGATATAGAAGGATCTGGTGGGTTTTTCAGAGATGGCTGGAGGAGGCATCTCTGGGACAGGGACAGGAACCTGTCTTGGGACAGGAACCAAGATGTAGGGTGACCATGGCAAGGCTTGAGGCCGGGATGCCCAGGGTGCCCCTCTCTGCCAGGTCTCCAGCAGGAATAGTGGGGGCTGTTGGCCTCTGACAGTGTCCATCTCATCTTGTGCCAGCTGTCTGGGACTTGAACTCCATCTCTGCAAGGCCTTTGTAACTACATGAACCCTAGTGGGACAGAGTTCCCAGCAAGAGAGGCCAAAGCAGGGTGCTGGAGCCATGATGAGGGTTGGGTGAGCTTTCAGAGGGAGAGTGGGAGGCGTGTCCTGGGAAAGATGCTCCTCAGAGCACAGAGATTCCACAGCACGCTGGGGCAGGGACAGATGGGCTGCTCCAAAATGGCTTGAGCTGCCTCCCTAGTGAGCTTGCTGGAGCCGCCCCTCAGAAAGCCCCGGGCCATGCATGAGAACTGCAGCCTTTCCTTGCATGCTGGAACGTATAGTTCTAGGGGTGCGTGAAACCCATGTCTTTGAGCAAATTTGAGGGGAAGAGGCTGCAGTATCAGAATCCAGGTGGGGGACACTGGGGCCCTTGGCTTGGGCCATTCTGGCCCTTCGAAGTGGAGCCCCAGATGTACTGTGGATCCTTCCTGCCCCAAGCCTTATGAATATAGAAGGAACCAAGAGGCGGAGGCCTGGGTGACTCTGCGAAGACCTCTGGATGATTCTGGAAACATAAAATCTCTCCCATTATTTCTCAAATGAATTCCTGTGCCTTTTTTTACGGTTTACTTTAGAAGAGCAATAAATCTCTGATTGTGCATTTTATGGAATTTAAGATGCCTTTTATGAGCTGCTATTGGATCTCCCACCAAAATCAATCTCCTGGATACTTAATTTTAAGCAAAATTCCAGCGTCGGCTGTGTTCTCAGTTCTGCTCGATGCCTGTCACAATCAGAGCAGCTGAGGGCCCCAGTGGCAATCCACCGCAGGGGAAGAAAGGCCCCGTTATGGTCAGACCTCATAAAACCAAGACAGTAAGGGTGAGTGGGAGGGGAAGTCTACAGCATGGTTTAATTGAAGACAGGTTGAGTATAAAACCAGTACTAGTCACTTTATGTTAGAAGATATTTTAATTGGAATCAAGAGGACCCTAGTCCCATAAAACTCAACTAGACTTAGCAGACAAGCAATTCTGGGCTTGCTGTCACCCTTTCCTGGAGAACCAGGAGGTGATGTGAGTTGGGGAGATCCCCTGACAGACTCTGGAGGACTCAGTGGAAGAATCAGGGTGCTGGAGAATGCGAGCCCATGACCAGGTGGGTGATAGAATCTCTAGTCCTGGATTTTGACAATCGCAGGAAAGAAAAGCTCTCTGGAGCCAATCATGTCACCTCTTTAAAAATCACCACCTGAATGCTCTACCTTCTAATTAGAGAGCTGGGGGAGCAGAACCATTCACTCCTCCAAAGACCCTTAGGTCCCAGTCCCTGCGGCACCAAACAGGTCTGCAAGGGAGGTGACAGGATGGGCCTTCTCTTCTCACAGCCATCCTTCCAGGGCACAACTGGGACAGAAGAGGCAGTCAACAAGCTTCCTGCTGCCACATGCATCTGGTTCCCATAAATGTGGAGCTGGGATGAACCCTAAGTGGATCTTCAGTGTGTCGAGAACTGGCCAAGAAGATACATGGTCCAGGGGCTGGAAGCTTCCCTCTAATACCTAAGGGGCACATTTCTTGCTCTAACCTCAATTTGCTTTATCTGTAAAATGGGACTGTACAGTCCTGCTCATCTTGCAGGGCAGTTGGTGGGCCAAATGTGTCATGAACCAAAACTATCACAAGGTATGTAAATAACACCGCCAATAGACAGCTGGGGAAAAATGCAAGGGCTCTTAGCCTCACTGTGGCCGCTGTCATTATTATGACAGACTCATGTGTCTCCATACATGGGAACTCTCTTTAAGCTACAAAAAATTCCTATCTGGAAAATTCCAAATGGCAACAATCAAAAAAATGCACATGGGGGTCCCTAACATTTTTTTCATCTCATCAGTTTCTGCTCATGGAATGAAGGGGAAGAGAACTGGAGAGGCCACATGGGGCAGAGAGGGCATACTGATTCTGGGTGACAAGAGGAGCTGCCAGATGCGTCCCTCCCCAGGGGCCAACCCCGTGAACCAGGGGGCCATGGGTTGGCTTTGGCATCAGGCAGGGGGCACCTCCCAGCCTGCCTATTGGGGACCCCTGATGGTTACAGATAGATGCACAGTGAATATCGACATCATACGTATTTGCATAGGTATCCCTCTTGCTACTCACACTGGAGAAGCTTTATATCTATTAGAAGTTCCAGAGTCAGGAGAATCACCACCAATATTACACAGGCTACCAGGAAACTGTTGAGACTCGCACTGAGCAAAAATACCTGCCACACGGCTGCTCTCTTCCCACAGCATGGCTTCAGCCAGTTAGACCTGCAGGGACAAAAGCAGGAGAGGAGGGCTGAGTGTGGAGGGTGAAGGAGCAGACCCCATGCGGCCCTGCCTTAAGCTGCTGGCCTCCCTTCTCCCGGTTTCACAGGGCTCTTGGTTTCATGATGAGCCACAGTTGTCTTTACGAGACCACAGAGTAGAATCAACCTCGTCTTGGGAAGGGGAATTGTGTTCTGAGGACTCTTTTGGGAGACCCTGAACTTGGTGAACTTGTGCACTCACAAGCATAGATAAGGCAGAACCTGGAGATGGACTCTTTCCTGAGCAAGATTCAAAGTGGGGATAGAAGCTCAGGGCTGGGTGGGTCCCTTGAGCATCTGATTCTCTTACATTCTCAGGGACACAAGGGGCACCTTTGAGTGGGCAGAGAGGAGGGGGTCGCTGTGCTGAGGTCACCTTGCTGACAAGGTAATGTAGGTATGAGCTGGATTGCCTGCCTCCCTGGATGAGGAAGGATGGGGCATCCTGGAGACACCAAGACTGTGTCAGCCAGGCAGTTCTTATCCTGGCTGTGCCTTCAGCACCCTGGGACCATGTGCAAAGGTCCTGACCACTCTGGGATACTTCCTCTCCATCCTAAAGTGAGGCTGGTGCTCCTAACTCACAGGATTATTAAGAGCTGGATGAGAGAACACATCTGACCTGTTGAGCAGTATGGCTGAAATGGCTTGATGACAGTGATGATGACGATGGTGAAGATGGCGGTGATGAAGATGGCGATGGAGAGTCTGAGTGCCCCTGCATTTGACCATCGCTTGGCCAGCAGAGGGAGCCTGTCTGCGGCAGCCTGCTGACAGGCCGGCCAGCGCCCACCTCCTGTAGTGCCCGAGGGTGTCACTGGACAGGGAGGGCAGCTCCCTTCTCCCCAAGGAAGGCTGTGAATGTTCCAAGATGAGGTTTCTTCCTGGAAATCCATCCTAGGGGAAGGCGTAGGATGAAGCTCACAGCTCATCAAGAACCTGTCAGGAAAATGGGCTCACTCAAGTCTTTCTGGATTCCCTCTAACACTCACAGGAATGGCAGGCCTGTCCTTGACTCTTGGGAACATAAGAGATTGGGGTTCAGTCCACGATTTGGGAAGCTGGTCTCAGAAAGAGAGGCAGGAGAATTTCGAGAGATGTTGAAGGAAAAAGAGATTGCTTTGGATGGGGGTGGTTGATAGGAGCCCCCACATGGCCTGAGAGTGAGGGCCAATGGATAGGGACCCTGGCTGGGTCAGAAGAAAGAGCTTCTCACAGAGGGACCTGTGGACATCAAGAAGAAGGCTATCTCCTGGCGGATGGCTTTCAAATAGCACGAGTAGCCACTTCTTCCTACTTCCCTTCAGGCTCCCACAGGCCAACCCATGAGCAGGAAGCCATCACATTAACCCCAAGCCCCCATAGGATCTGGTTCACCATATAAACACAGGACATCCAAGTAAGTTCCAGATAAATCAGTATACCTGTGTCCCAAACAATGCACAGGAAACACTTACACTAAAAGGTAACCTGTTGTGTATCTGGAATCTCAGTTTAACCAGGCATCCTGTTCTCTTATTTGCTAAATTTGACACCCTAACTTCTGAGCTGAGGGTCTCAGAGAAACCTCATGAAGACAGTGGATTTGGTCAGAAGGATGGAGTAGAACCACAGGACCCACTCGAGGAGCCAGGATGAGCGAAAGAAAGCCCACAAGAGACCACTTGCAGCAGTGGGCAGGACAAGGTTGGAGAGGCCTCATCACCCATTAAGGGACATGGCCTGGGCCCACCTCCTCGCATGCCAGAAGCCTAAGCCTGCTACCCATCGGGCAAACACTACAGAGGGCTCCTGCATGTGCACCAGAGACCTCTGAACATTAAGATCTCTGCAATGATGGTCCCTTGGGCACTTCCCCCTCCTGATCCATCTCCTGTCTCATGTACTTACCCCCACTTCTGCCTCCCTCCCCTTGGCCCAGTTTCATCTTTCACACCTGAGCCTCCCCTCCTGTCTCCCCCAGGTGGCTCAGGTTCTGTAAGTTAGGTGACTTCCTCCTGTGGCCACCCCTGTGCTCTGTCTCTTCAGAACTCTGTCACCTAGCTCCAGTCCCAGGTCTTCCTCTTTAGTGTCTGTAGCCCTTCCAATGGTGCCATTTTGTTGTCATTTGAAATTGGAGCCAAGAGCCTTCCGGTGGCTCTAAGCGGAGAGGCTCAGCCTCACAGTGATAGCTGTTCGCCTGCATGTGGTCTTGCCTAGAGCGGAGAGCAGAAGCCCTCACCCAAGGTGCACAGAGGCGGCTGGCAACTGAACCTTCTTTCCCCAAGACACTGCTCTTTCTCCCTCAAGAACAGAGCCCAATGGGGAAGGAAAGGACACAAAGCATTTCATCCAGCAGTTGTACCTTTGCCTGTTCCTTCCCTACAGGCAGAAGTACACCTGCTGCCACAAGAGGGAAGTTTAGTCCACACTGCTGCTTGAATGTTAGCATGCTGACTTTCCTTTTCACAGAATCATCAATCAATCAATCAATCAATCAACCAATCAAGTATCTATTTCTTGTGACAACTTCTCATTATGTTGCCCAGGCTGATCTTGAGCTCCTGGGTTAAGTGATCTTCTGCCTCAGCTTCCCACATAGCCAGCTTTACTGGTGTTCACCTCCATGCTCAACTTTTCCTTCTTTTGAAAAGATGCAGGCAGGGGTGGGGAGTCATCTGTGATTCAATGACGTCGGCTTCTGGGTGGCCACACCCTGATCCCCAAGCCAGGGAGAGGATCAGGCAGGTGTCAGGTTCTAGAAACAAGTCAAGGACAGGTCTAGAAGTCATATGAATGATGGGAGCCCACCATGGTAGGCACCACGATTAAGAAGCAACAAGAAGAGACAACCTTCAGGCTTTTGGGCAGGTTACATCTCGTGGGGAGACAGTCAGATCATGAATAACCCACAGGGACAAACCAGAGAAGGCAGAGGTGTCAGGATGTAAAGAGAAGCTGATATTTAAGTAAGGCCGCAAGGGTCAGCCTCTCTATGAATGTGACCTTTGAGAAAGTGGAAGGGGGTACAGTGTGAGGGAAGCTAGGATGGGCGGTCCAGGCATGGCGGAATCAAATAAGGGTGCTGATGGTGAGATTCTACTCCACCCTATGGGACAGGAGAACAGGAGCCAGGCTGGACAGGCGACACCACCCATCACTCCCACAAGGACAGGAGCTATGGGTTCTGCCACTGTCTTTGGCTCCCTTGGATAAGGACAGGATCAACACCCAGGTTGGCAGTTTTCAGTTCAGGCTGTGACTTAGAGTCACCAAGACAGCTTGAAAATCCCAACTCCCAGGCCACACGTCAGATCCTCTGACCCACCAGCTTGGGGCAGGATCCAGGCTGGTGTCCAAAGCCCCTTCTGGTAACTCCTGTGTGTAGTCAGAATGCAGAGCCACTGTCACCAGCCTTGGTGGCTTGAGGGCCCTGAGGAGCAGGGGCCAAGTCCTCACCCAGGGCTGTGGGAACTGCTGAAGCTCACCCTTCCCCACCCCATTGCTAAGACCCCAGGTGGTGGGAAAGCCAGCACTTCAGGTGGCTTAAGAGGCTGACAGGTAGCTCAGCAGGTGAGCAGGGTGCAGGGAAGGGAGCTGGAAGTGGGAGAGATGAGATGTGGGGTCCTAGGGCCCCAACCAGCCCAGGGGTGGTACAGGGCCATGTGCATCCCTGTGTGCCTACAGTGGGCTGGACGGGGATGTGGGCAGTGGCACAAGGCTGTTGGTTTTCTGGCTGACCCAGTGTTTGGAAATCCCAAGTGGCTAATAAGATTCCCTCTAAAATTCAAAAAACTCAGGCATTCTTAGGAGTTTCCAAAATTCCCGGATGGTTAACTAACAATTTGGCCTTCATGGGGCCCTGGGACCCCACATCTCATCTTTCCACTTCCAGTTTCCTTCCCAGCATGGTCTGCTTCTTTGGAGAGAGTGCTTTCCTCAGTAGGACCTTAGGGACCTGGCAGGTTCTGGTGGTGCTGTGCCGTGGAGGCCACCAGAGGGCAGGCGTCTCTGCATTTCTAAACATGAGAAGCCAGCTCTGGGCAGCCTAAGTCACCAGGACCACATATACCAGTGGCCAGATGGTACCGCATGGCAGGTGGGCAAGTGGTTTTGCCAGGCAGTCCTGAGACCTCAGGGACATCGGTGGAAGGGAGGCTGGGCACTGTTGCTGCTCCTGCTGTCTACCGTCAGGCGTGCAAATCACAGTTTAGGAGAGCACATTTTGGAATATGGAACCAGTCCAGTGCCTGGCCTGTCCCTCTCTAGCACCCCAGCCATGGACAGAAGTGCGGTGCTGGGGACAGGGATGGCTGCATTGACTGCTGGTATGGACCTGGGCTCTTAGGGATGGTGGGGGCCCTCTTGTATCCTCGTAAGAGCCTGCAGACTGTGAGGAGTCACAGTGTCCTCAGAGGAAGTGCAGATCACAGAAAGCCTGGAGGCCAGGAGATCCTGTGCCCCAAGCTGGGATTGTTGCTCTCAGATCCCCAAAGAAAGCAGCCCCGGGAAGTGAAAGGAGCCTGGGAGCCACGTGATAGCCACAGCTGGGACGAAGCTGAGCTCAGGCTGCCCATGACTGTACCTGGGGGAGGCTCAGCAGCTTCCAGAGGGCAGAGTGTCCTGACAGTTCTTAAAAAGCAATGGCTTCTACCCCAAAATGCAGAACATCACATAGGGCTGCCCAGGTTCCCTGAATCTCACAGACATCATCTTTTTCCCCACCTCATTTTGCAGTAGTAGGGATTGAACATCAAGGTCTTCCCACTACGTTACATCCTCACTTTCACTTATTTTTTGTTTTTAATTTTGAGACAGGATCTCACTAAATTGCTAAGATGCCCAGGCTGGGCTTCAACTTTTGACCCTCCTGCCTCAGCCTCTAGAAGGCTGGTATCACAGCTACGCGCCCAGCCCAGGTGGATCATCTGAGGAGACTTGGGCTCAAGGGTAAAGCTCCAGGATGGGTTGGGCTGAGGCCTC